ACTACTATTATGACCTTTTGTATGGCTAACAAAGGCTAGAGAAATCTAATTACCGCTAACATGCAACGAATAGGAACATAAATTTTTCTACTTCATGAAAATTATGATTAATATATATTTAGAAGAGATTTATCCACTATTTAAAAATTAATTAAAGAGTATTATAATTAAATAAAATAGCTGTTCTCTTTTAAAATAAAAGTCAATATAGTACTTATTATTAGTTTTATTGGTCTAAAAATTGATACAATATTGTTAATAAAATATTCCTTAGAAAATTGAAACAGTAAGCACAAATTACCCTTACTCATTCATAAAAGTCTATGAGGAAAAGAAATTTTGATTTCAATCTGGTCACGGTCAAGTTGATCAAACCGGTGTTACTCAGTCATAAATGTTAACTTGAATATTGTGAAGTTTGATCATAGTGATGAATCTCTCTGTACCTTGTCAGATTGATCAAAACAGTATTGTTCACTATTAAATTTCACTACTTGCTCTCTTTAGCAGTAACTATGTCTATTAATTATACACACGGGTGCCACTTCAAATTTTTTTTCTATACCAAAATTGGTTCATAAAGATAACATTTCTATAAAAAAAAAGTCAAATTTTTTTCTATTGTCTTTTAACAAGAAAATACGAAGTATATAAAATATATAGAAGATATAGAACAGTACAAGTCTTTTTAGCTGTAGCAAACTTATGGTTTAAATAATCCGCGACTATCTTTTGGTGATCATACATAGTGTATATCTTTCAAAAAGTTATTTCCACAACGTAATATTATTTCTGGTCTTAAGCTCCATTCATTTTACCTTATCTGTAGGTGAAAATATTACCAGTATTATCGGCTGGCAGTTTTCCTATACACTATACAGGTTCCTATACAGGTTTCCTATAGAAACCTATACACTGATGTGACTGTATAATATATCTGTTAATATACTTATAATTAAATACAATTTCTTATTCATGTTTTCTAAAGAGCCTTTTAATTATTTTTATTTAATTTATTTATAGACTTTAAGACTATAAACGTATTAGTTGAACACTCAACACTTACATACATAAGCTATTTAGATACGTCCGATATAGAAATATCCCTTTTTTTTGTTTTGTTTTTTATGAATAGATGTTTTGCATATCGTTACAAATTAACAAATTACAAAATAGTGCACAGTGACATTTATAAATAAATTTAAATTAAAATATGTACAAAAAATTTGGCGCTTCAAGAAAGTACCATTTTCTAAAAACGAGTACCAGAGTACCACACGGAAGAAAGTAATAATTTTGGTATCAAAATAAATATTTATATATTCCTAATTATTAATGTACATAATTTTAAAATTCATTTTTAAAGTGTTTACGATCAAAAAGTAAGACTGATTTTAAAGTTGCTGTTAGTCGAAAGATATCATCCAAAATTTAAAATGCATTTTAAGGTGATTAGACAATGCTTAAAAGCGATATGTCTAATTAAAATTTGTTATTAGTGCCTTATAATAGGCTAATATTTATTCGAAGCAAAAGATTGTTACGAGTCTTATATTGATTTTTGAACCATTAAAACAACTTTTAAGACTACACGAATCTGGATCAATTATTTGTCGAAGACGATTTTATAATGATACATTTAATGGCTTCAAGGGTAGTTTGATTATTAGAAAAATCAAATTTTTTCCATATAAACAAAACTCCAATCAGATTTCTCGAATTTAATATCTCATTAAGAATTTTCTCACAGCTTATAATTATTTACTGAAATACAAAAAATACATTATAATATATGTGAATTTTCCATATCATCGTTATATTTTGATATTAAATAAAGTGAATCAAAATCAAAGTTCAATTATAAAAATTCATGTATCCCACAATTTAATTCAGATATATTTACATTTTATAAAATATATATATGTATTTGAAGTATGTATAATATTTCACTGATATATTTATATTATACAAATATAAACAAGGTTCAAGTATGCACGGTGTATTCACGACCATTTTAATTAGTTCTGAATAATATAGAAACTTTACTAATAATAGCAACCCTGTCAGTGCAGCTTTGGCAACTCTATGTAATTCTGTCCGAAGGTAGCGCAATAAAATTAGTTTGAAGTTTTACTTCTTCGATTGAGTTTTGCATAAAATTTAACAAAGCAACTTAAGAATAATTAAAAAATTTATCAGGTAATATAAAAATATATATAAAAGTGAAATAAAATTTTTATTAATTGTGTAAGTTTCAAAAATTATGTCAGTAAAGCGATAACATAGAATATATTGATATTTGGCAGGCAATAGCAATTTTGAGCCGAATATCTAAATAGTGTAATTTACAATTAAATTTCCTGCGTCAAAGGTAATTTTACAGCAATAATTTCACTTTTTATATTTCTCCAATAAATTTGACAGGTAACTGAACAATATATATATTTCACTTTTGCAAACTTTGCAAATTCTTCAAACCTTTTTTAAAATTACGAGATTTTGTAATGTTATTGTTTCAAATATTCGACATCATACACATTTTTTTGGAAAACATATAACATATAAGGTTAGGTTTCGTGAAACGAAAAACAATTGTCAGGCGTATTCGGCAACTCACGTAATCCTAATCGGATACACAATCTAAACATTTATCAAACAAAATTAGAAACATTTTTAATAACATTAAGATTATTTAATCATAATTTATAATATGTGCAAAATTTTTTTGATTTAGAAAATCACTTATAGTTATTATATATTTTCAATTAATTTAGCACTTAATCTCTAACTAAAAATTTAACTATGGGAGATGCCGAGAAAGGTAAGAAAATCTTTGTTCAAAAGTGTGCTCAGTGTCATTCAATAGAGAGTGGAGCCAAGCATAAGGTTGGGCCCAACTTATATGGTGTTATGGGACGCAGGAGTGGTACTGCTTCTGGTTATAAATATACTGAAGCCAACCAGAAAAAAGGCGTCACTTGGAATGATTCAACTTTGTTTGATTACTTAGCAGATCCTAAGAAATATATTCCGGGAACAAAGATGGTATTTGCTGGCTTGAAAAAACCTGAAGACCGTAAGGACCTAATTGCCTTTCTCAAAACTCGCAAATAAGTTTCGTTTAGTTCTAATAAGAAACAACAACAACATAGTATTGAAATTTATTTAAATTTCAATAAACAAACTTTCATGTAAGTAAAGTATTTATGGTAGTTGTTTTTTTTTCTTTAAATTCCAATAACTGTTTTGTAGATAGTAATCTAATCATCATTAAAATTTAAAAAACAATCTCTTAATTATTTTTCAAACAACTGGTAATATTTCATACACATATGTTATTATATGATTAAAGCATCAACTTTTTCTCAACAGATTTCAGTTGATTAAAGAATATGTATTTACTAAATTGGACAACTGATTTTCATGGACATTCGAGCAACAAACAACTTTAGAAATGCTAGTCTACATTTAAAAAAAATTTCTTTTAACATTACAAAAAAAACAATAAAAACCAAATCCCAATAAATTATGTTTTTCTTATAAAAATATTTTTGAAGTTAAAAAATATGTTATTTATAATTTATGATAAATAGATTTTTTTATTAATATTAACTGATTGTTAGGGAAAAAAATTTTTAACATATTTCAGACGTTAGAAATTTTTATAAAGACCTAAATATTTATAACCATTCCATAATTTTTAGAATTTTCTTAAACGTAAAATTTCCTTTATTAACAAAGTATGAGTTAAAGGATAAAAAGTTTTAGCAAGATGAATGAAACTATGTGTGCTATAAATTTAAAAATTCTTAGAAGACTCATATTTTATTGTTTGAAACTTTTAGAATTATGCGACCCAAAATATATCTATTAGCTATACAAACAGGGCCAATCTTTCTAATGTAAATAGCTTCGAGGTATTTTTCAATAAAACCTCAATCAAAGTTTTCCGTTTTAACAGTAAGCAAAAGGTTGCATTCAATCAGAAAATTGCTGATGGCAAGATAAATACGAAGAAATAGAAATAAAGATTGCGAGTACAAAATTATTTGAATATTGCAACAAGTTAGAAAAACTCATGATGTTCTGATATTTAATAAAAATATTTTTATCGACAGTGAGTGACAGACATAAAAACAATTTTCATCAATCAAAAACTGTTTTGCCTATGATTTCAGAAGCGTAAGAATCAAAGATATAAATATAGAATTGAAAGGGTTATGTCTGTAATAAAATTTATCTACTGTGATATTTAATATGAAAATATAATTATCTGTTTTAAGAATAAATAAATATTGAAGAAGACGGACATTAAATCAATATTTTATTTTAAGAAAATATGACACCTAGAGTGTCATTTCACTGGAAGCTTTTGAACTGTGATTATAAGTTCAAGTTGATATTATGACAATTATATTAAATTTTACTATTATAAATACGTAAAAATATATTTATTATTATAAATAATAATTGTCAGAATGTGTACAATTTACTATTAATTATTGAAGTTTATATGATTAAAATTCAGTAATAAAGTTCTTGATTAATTAATCATTGCCGTAAGTCCTTATCTCTTCATATATATGTGGATTTTATAAGAATACATATAAACAGCTAAATAAAGAACTACTGTATAGTATAAGTTTCAAGTATTTTGGGTAGAGTTTCGAGAGTTTTTAAATAAGACATTTACATGTAACTAATTTCAAATCATACATTTGTTAGCATTTCAGTCTGCTCTCCAATATATATTTTTAATAATCATCAAACAACGGGTGCTGAGCTAGAACGCAAACTATTTGGGGGCAGATACATTTTGAAGCGAAGTTCTTACAACAGACTATATTTATGATATTTCTGAAAAAAAAACTTTAAAAATTAAATTAAAGACTTTTAGTGTTTAGCAATAAGGATAGACGTTGTCAAGCTAGTTATATAAATTATGTTAATTATTTAAATAAAGTTTGGAGCTTAGTTAAAAACAGTTATAATCCTGTGGGTTGGAAAAATATTTAATGTATTTTATTTTTTTAGAATCAGTTATTTATTCAATGTGTTTTCCAAGTACGGATATCCACATCTTTCCAGAGAATAATACAGTTAACGTTAGGAATGCATTATCTTTCGTTTAAAACATTTGAACGAAAATTTTAAATAGCATATGTACAAGAAAACTAATATTATTATATTCTAAGTGTGATCAAAATTATTTGCACAAATTAGTTATAGTAAAGATTTCAGCAAAAAATGCTAAGATATTTCGAAATGAAACCTAAAAGTGAAACTATTCAATCTTAATTACTTGTGGTAGAGGTGGTTTACCTTCCTTTATTGCCCAAATCCAAATTCCTAGTATTGTAAATATATTATTCTTCTTATTGTAATGTTATAACCTATATCCTAGTAACTTAGACATTATTATTTTGGAAAGAAAATATTTAATATGCTGCATGAATTTAGATAAACAATGGAAGTAAAAAAAAAAATAAGTCATGTAAAGTTTTAATTAATATAATATAACTTATACTTTAAATAACTACATAGCTGAAAATAAATCATTTCAAACTTATATTAAAAATATTTAAGATTTTTCATTTTTATATGAGTAAAAACTTCTTTGAAATATCGTTTTCCATAAAATAAAAATTATTATGGCAACCTTTAAACATTTCTAGGAATTTTTTATTGACATCAATGCTAGGAAGTTTTATCTTTGAAATTGTTTCATATCGTGAAAAATTTTTTAAGAAAACTTTAAATTGGTGGATTATTTAGTGAATTCCTACTTGTATTTGAAGAAATATTTTTATTCAAGTTGCTTTCATTTAAAATTAAATTTATAAATTGCAAAGAGTGTCACATAAAGTGCACGTGTTTAATAAATAATTATTTAATGAATATAAATGTAAAACATAGATTTTCTTATTTAATATAAAGAAATTCTTTACTTCTGTAAAATATTTAAGAGTATTTTGTTGTTTTACTTTAAAGTAAGGTTTAAATTTATCTTAGCAATTTTTTATTAAAAGTCCTTCGCACATGAACAAGTGCTAATTAACTTAATTGAACCAGAAATGAAGTGGAAGCTATTCAATTTCTATGCATTTTTCAATTTCCTTTGCAAATAGTAGATCAATTAATTTCTTTCACATAAGTATATTACGTCTATACAATGGCTCTAGTGGTAATAAAAAAATATGAAAAGCAATTGCTGGTAATTTTTAAAGTACTTCATTAGTAGTTAAGTACATTTGAAACCAGTAAACTCTATATTTTTTAACAAGAAATAATATATTGACTAAGAATTAAACATCAAAATTCACTTTGATATTATAATTATTATATAACATCCTACTTATTTTCTTCCTTGTAGCCAATTAAGTTATTTTCCTTACTTGCAAAATTTACTTACATGTGGAAAACAATCTAAAATTTGACTTAAATTGAATCTGAAAGCTTGCGTGATAATAACATTACACTAATAACATTTACCTTGATGATTGCTAGACAGAAAATTTAACCAAAATCCGTGTGCATTCATTAAGTCAATTTGTTATAAAAGGTTTCTTTAGAAGAAAATACTCAAAGGCAATTTAAACGCCGCAGAAGAAAGCTATTAAGTTCGCTTGTTGCCTTTAAAGGATTTATTCATTTATTACCTTTATTTGCAGTGGAAAAACTGCTCATGCAAGTGGCTTAAAAAATGAGAAAGTGAAAGTGAAATTTATAAGTGTATGGATGTATAGATGCAAGACCGTCGAATGGAAAACATCATAATATTACAAGGAAGTAATTTCAAGTGTAAGCTACATCCTGCGGTGCTCAAATAAATACTATTAAAAGTATGTTTCCTTCTGTGCGAAGAATAATGAACAAACATATAGTAACTGTTACTTCAATATTATAACTTATTTAATTTATAGCTAACACGCTGCCATTGTAGGGAAAATATATTTTTAACTAAGAATTTTTAAAATATTAAGAAAAAGGGCTTATGTTCATAAGTTCAACATATGTGGTTTGAAATTAATAAAAGTAGATATTCTGAATAGAAAATAATATCAAACATTAATTTTATAATCCCTTTTATATAAGATCATGTCAGATCTTATATATCACTATTTAATTTAATCATCAATATTAGTTTCTTTCACTTTAGAAAGACAGATATTATCAACATTTTGAATTCTACATATTATGTCATTTTCAAAAACATAAAACATAGTATAAGATCTCAATGTACGATTAAGTAACACTAGGGCAGTCCGACCTCAAACTAAATTACTCTAAGTAACAAATCAAAGGCTTTCTCTTTTATGTAGGATATCTAGGTCCATCTACTACCAAGTCCATAGTCAATAAATGTTTTTAATTACATTTAGCTAACATATAAAAAATTTATTATAATCAACTGTAACCTCCATCATCATCGAAGTGGATATCAATATCGTAAAATAAATCAGATATCATTAATCTCTCTATTAAAAAAAGTTAATATGTCAAACACCTTATCAATGAATGTTAATTTAAATTCACTTAAAAGTATTTGTAGAAGTACTTATTAATAATAGATGACATACTAGATTCTTGAATCAGCGAACCGAACTGTATTTCAATCTGTTTAATTATTTTATTGTTAATTTATATATATCTCTAGATACAAATAATCTGTATTATCGAAATAATTTTGTTCCTATTAGTTTCAAACAGAAATATAGTCATGCTATGTTGAAAAGTCTAAAGAGTACTTATCAGTACTTAACTATCCAAATATTTTTAACATTTTTATTAAATAGAACACCATTTTGCCATCACTCATTAAGAGGGTTTTGCGCTTTGGTAGACAAATACTTTGCCAAGGTGTCGCACAGTGTAACGAGTGCGGACAAAAATCATAAAAAATGAAGGTTATTAGAATTGGAAAAGCGGTTTACATATTGATAGGTAATACTTCTACTAAGAAAAATCTGAAATATTTTTCAAAAATTTCTATGCATGGGACCACATCTTCTCATCAAAGTCACTCTAATTAGATCTTAATTTTTTTTTTGAAAAAACCTAAGTTTATAGCAATGCACTTTCAAGCCATATATTAGTTTTTTTTAGGTACAACTCTGCATAAAATGCATATATGAGTAAAATATATAATTTAGTAAGTCCGTTAACACTTTGATTTATTTTGTTTTGATTC